TATTATAGTAGGAGACATTTTGATGCGCTATTGCCTGCCTAAAAACATTATACTTAGGACATTTATTACTCTGCTATTTTCAGACACAGGTAAATTGTAAATGAGAGTAGTGCACTTGCACACATTTTGTTGTTTACATGTAATACTTTTGAAGCAGGAGATTGCAAATTGAAATTTTGGTTTTATGTTCAATGTAATTAGAATAGCATAAATTTAGATATAATTAATTTTCCATGGGAATTCCCAGTGTAGATTAGGGTAATTATTTTAGAGTATCAATTTTTGGTGCAAATTATGTGTGTTCATTCATATGAGTGTGTTGTAAAGGTTACTATTTGTGTTTTGATTATTCTTTGCAAAAGTGAGATTCTATATCCTTGGTTTCTGTCATTAACTTATGCCACTAAAAGTTTATGGGTAAATTATACGCTCGTTTGTGTGCAATCTGAGTGATTTTATTGTGTCAAGGGTTCAAACCTTTGTCGCACCCTGAAGATCCTGCTCCCTAGATTTTTTATGCAAAATCTTGATAACCCGCTTACGGTTCATGCGTGCTACTGTGCAGGTGATAAGTTTGGGGGTAGGTGGGTTACTTGGATTATATATATTAACCTACCTGTAATGTTCTGGATGCGAGATTGCAAAGGCCAACACAACAGATAAAATCTTACAAGGAATTTAATGAACAATTGAGATGAATATGAGCATGCACAAAATAAGATATATGAAATTTTCATTGATTTTTTTAGTTTAAACAGGCAGGTTCTGTTCCTGCCGCAAAAAATGACTTGCCGCATCATTGAAATTACAGATTTTCATTGACAATCTCGCTCGCGTTCATAGCGGGGGAAAAGGGCCGGCAGTGATATTGCTTATATGTGGAAGATAACTACAAGCTACATTTAAATAGCAAGAACCGTGCCCTCTGCATGAGGAGCTGCCCGTATTTATGTACATTCTGAGGCAAATTAATTGTAGTGTCTCTGCCGATAGACGAAGGATATTGTTTCATTACTTGACGACATTTGACTATAGTTTTACTTTTTTAATTTGATTCTTTAAGTCTATGGTATTTGGAGGATTTGGAAAATTGTGTCGCCATGCCCAGGGCGAATAATTTGGAAAAACACAGGACACAAATGTATACGTGAAGGACGATGCAATGTGGACAGCCAGACCCGAGGAGGAGAAAAGCCAAAGTTCTACAACGACGTCCGAGAAGACCCAGGTAGAATCAACGTTTTGTGGTGGCACTATAACGACCTGCAAAGGAAATGTTTTTCTGTACTTGATCCCAGACAATAGCGATCCTCAATTTTTTAATTGCTTGATAGGTATTGCACGTGCGCATGAGGGATTCTGCTATTGAATCGTTGTAGTTATTTTGCTTGTAAGTCAAACTACTAAAGGAGACATAGATTAGAAATATAACATCTCGCGACGCGCAGACGAGTGCAATAGCGCGAGGAAGGGGTGTGGTCTATATCCGGGCGAGCGCTCTGCCGACTTACGGTGATTAGTGGCTGCTTAGAGAAAAATAAGCTGGGAACAGAATTAGG